TTTGGTAGAGACAGGGTCTCACTATGTTGTCCAGGCTGGTCTTAAACTCCTGGCCTCAAGCAATGTTCCCACCTGTGAGCTTTCGAAAGCTCTGGGACTACAGGCTTGAGCTAATTCACGCCCCCCTTAATGTGATCATCTCACCATGCTGAGGGAGATCCTAGTGGCCAAAGTTACACATTAAAAAAAAACCTGGGGTGGGTAAGGTGGCTCACGGCTGTAGTCCCAGCGCTTTGGGAGGCCGAGGTGGGTGGATCACCTGAGGCCAGGAGTTCAAGACCAGCCTGGCCAACATGGTGAAGCCCCATCTCTATTAAAAATACAGAATTTAGCCCGGCGTGGTGACAAGCACCTACATAGTCCCAGCTACTCGGGAGCCTGAGGCAGGAGAATTGCATGAACCTTGGAGACGGAGGTTGCAGTGAGCCGAGATGGTGCACTCCAGCCTGGGTGACAGAGGAAGACTCTGTTTAAAAAAAAAAACAACTACAGAGGAACAGTGCATGGTAAGGATGGTAAGGTGCAGAAATCTTCAGTGAATGATGGACTGTGGCAGACGCCTGCTCATTTCCACCACGGCGTTAGCACTTAGACCAGGATGTGGGAGATTTCTATGACCCAGGAGTTCCCTCATGCCCCACGATCAACTCCTGTCCTCGGGTTAGCCGTGATAGAGACTCTCACCACAGATGCTCCCTGCTGTTCCAGAGCCTCCCACAGTGGACTGCAGTGTGTGAACTCCCACCGCCCTAGGACCTCATCTCATCTGCACATCCTCACCAGGGAGCGTCGCTCTTGCTGTCCTGGAAGCTGAGGTGCATGCTTGCTAATTCCCATGTGGTCTTCCATTACATGAATAGGTCGTCATTTGTTTTTCATTCTAGGGCTGATGGACACTGGGATTGTTTTCAGTGTGAGGCTGTTACAGGTCGAGGTGATATAGAGGTTCTGATCCAGGTCCTCTGATGAACGGACACCCCCATTTTTCTTGGGAGTGTATTTGGGGATGGGATTGCTGGGCCACAGAGTAGTCAAGTTCTTAGATTCAGTAGCTGGCGACAGGTTTCCAAAGTGGTTGTAACAATTTACACTCCCACCTGTAACTTCTCATCAGTGCTTGATATTGCCCATGAAAGTCACTTTTTTCTTCAGGCAAGGTCTTGCTCTGTCGCCAGGCTGGAGTGCAGTGGCGTGATCATGGCTCACTGCAGCCTTGAATTCCTGCACTCAAATGATCCTCCTGCCACAGCCTCTCAAGAAGCTGGGACTTCAGGCTGCTGAAGCATTCCAAGCTAATCACAGTTTTTTTTTAAAGACATGGGGGCTTTACTATGGTTCCCAGGCTGATCTTGAACCCCTGGCCTCAAGCAATTCTGCCTTGGCCTCCCTAAGTGCTGGGATCACAGGTGTGAGCTGCCACACCCAGCCTAAAGGACTGTATTTTTGATACAATATGTGCAATGGACTGAATGTTTGTGTAACCCCTCCCAACAAATTCATATGTTGGCATCCTGGCCCCAGCACGATGGCCTTAGAGGGTGGGGCCTTTGAGGGATGGTTAGGGCACGAGAGTAGAGCCTTCACGATGGGATCAGTGTCCCTTATAAAAGTGACCCCAGAGAGCTCTCTCAGCCCTTTTTCTGCCCTGGGGCAGACACAAGGAACAAGCAGCTGTCTTTGACTGCTCTGTGACCTCGGCCGGGTTTCTCAGCTTCTCTGAGCTTCAGTCCTAAAATGGGATAATGACCTCCTGGGCTGTGGCAGGGATGAAATGAGCTAGCTGGGGCCAAGCGTTTAGAACGGGCCTGAGTGCACAGTCCGTGCTCCATAAGTGCTTACTGTTTATTTTTCTTCCGCGAGCACCTGCGATGGGTGTGGTGTCTGTCCTCAGCAATGGTCAGCAGATAGCAGCGCACTGCAGTGTGAACCTGACTGGCCCAGCAGCTCTAAGGAGGAGAGCACCTGGTGTTAACCAAAATAACCCTCAGGCCCAGTGGCTCACACCTACCATCCCAGCACTTCAGGAGGCCGAGGAAGGAAGATTGCTTGGGACCAGGAGTTCAAGACCAGCCTGGCCAACACAGTGAAACCCTGTCTCCAAAAAATTAAAAAGCTAGCCAGGTGTGGTGGCATGTGCCTATAGTCCCACGTTTTATACTTGGGAGGCTGAGATGGGAGGATTTCTTGGACCCAGGAGTTCAAGGCTGTAGTGAGTTGCGACTGTGCCACTGCACTCCAGCCTGGGCAATAGAGTGAAAAAAATTTTAATAAAATATTTTTTAAAAAGTCATCCTCACAAAATGGACATGTGGCTTAAAAATCACCGTGTAGGGAGAAGACTAGCTAAGTAAGAAGAAAACAGTTGAGGATTGTAGAGGCCATGTCCACAATTTACAAGTTAGAAATATTTGTATCATGAGCATTGGCGCTCGAAATTGATGATTACTACTGCAGTGTACAGGCAGAAGTGTGTGGAAGGTTCTGGTTCGGCTGCCCTGAGGAGGAAGGGGGGTCGCAGAGCCTGGCTGTCCTGGGACTGGTTAGAGCTGTATTCCCAGCTGGTAGGCAGTACTCTCTGGGTGGCACTCAGGACAGCTTTGACTGGTCCACAGTTCAACTCTTTTCTTTATTTGTGTAGTCACACACAGTTATGTACTAGAAAAGATAAAACAGCACACATGTCTTTAGGCAATATTGGTGGTAAAAAAAAAAAATCGCCCTAAAGACACAGGGACTCCAGGGGGTCTGGCTGTCCTAGATGAATTGTGAAGTGATAACGTCAGCCAGGTATCAGCAATATTCGAGAGACTGAGTTACCCAGTTAGAACGAGAAAGTGGTTTTTATAGCACGATCTGTTGTTGCTGGAGACAGCTGTGGAAGGATGGAGACCAGCGCAGGGTGAGGTGTGGTGGAGGGGCGGGTGCTGTGTGTGCACAAAGACGCCAATCTTAGCTGGTTCTGAGAACTTTGTTCTTTTCCTTTTTTGAGACAGAGGCTCCTCTGTCTCCAGGCTGGAGTGCAGTGGTGTGATCTCAGCTCACTGCAACCTCCACCTCCTTGTTTCAAGCGATTTTCCTGCCTCAGCCTCCTGAGTAGCTGGGATTACAAGTGCACATCACCACACCTGGCTAACGCTTGCATTTTTAATAGAGTTGGGGTTTCTCCATGATGTCCAGGCTGGTCCGTAACTAACTCCTGGCCTCAAAGTGATCCTCCTGCCTCAGCCTCCCGAAGTGCTGGGATGACAGGTGTGAGCCATCACGCCCAGCCCGGTGACTTTTCGTTTGTTTCTTTGGAATAAGAGACCTCAAGGAAATCTGGCGAAATGTTAATAGCCATTTAATCCAGGTGGTTGGAATAGGTGCAATCAGTGACATTATTAACTGCACGCTGTGTGTGTTTGAAATAGGTTTTAATTTAAAAGCTATTGAGGAAGCGGGTTTGGAACAGGAGTGATGTAGTAACTGAGGGGCTGGTTTGCTATTTGAATGATTTCTCCGCAGAGTGGGTAATGCTTGAAACATACGAGGGACTGAATCACATCCTTCGGACACATATGTTCTGAATACACAGCAGAGGGGCACCTTGTCAGCCCAGGCACCTCCGCGGTGATCATGCTCCGGCCTTGGTATCACCCAACTGGGAGATACCACTTTCTCCCAACCAGAACTTAGAGGCTGCCCTGTGTCCCATGAATCCTTTATTGCTAAGAAGCTTTGCTGCCATCATGAGTTAGGAGGACATTTGGCAGTGAGTGACAGAGAGCCCAAACTAATGGTGGTTTAAATAAGTTATGAGTTTCCTTCTCACAAGGAGACAACATCCACAGGGAGTCAGGCCTTCCGTCTCACGGTCTAAAACGGCCATTCCAGCAGCGTGCGGTGGCTCCCGCTGTACCCCCAGAGCTCTGGGAGGCCGAGGCGGGAGAATCGCTTGAGTCCAGGAGTTCCAGATCAGCCCGGGCAACATAATGAGACCCTATCTTTACAAAACTGTTTTAAAACTAGCCAGGTGTGATGGCGCACGCCTATAGTCCCAGCTACTAGGGAGGCTGAGCAGGAGGACTGCTTGAGCCCAGGAGGTGGAGGCTACAGTGAGCTGCAGTCACGCCACTGCACTCCAACCTGGGTGACAGAGTGAGACCCTGTCTCAAATAAATAAATAAATACATACATAAATAAAAATGGCTGCTCCAGTTCCAAACATCACATCCGAATTCCAGCCTGCAGAAGGAGGAAGGCCAGGAGTGGATGACTCCTCCTCCCATTTAGGACCCTTCCCAGATATCACACGTGTCACGTCTACTTCCATGCTGGTGGCCGGTGCTGGGCGGTTTGGCTCATCTAACTGTAAGGGAGGCAGGGAGAAGCGTTGCTGGTCCGGCTACCTGTGTACCCAGCTAAAAGCCGGGGTTTCTAGTATGAAGGGAGAAGGTCTGATGCGTACAGTGCGGTGGGTGGGGAGCCCTCCCCCAAGGAAGGGTCCCAGCATGTTGCTGTTCCACCCCCTCCCCACCACCCTGGAGCTCAGTGGAGACTCTGGGGCCTGTGACTATAAAGTGTCATTAGGGCAGGTCTGCTTTGCCCAGCGCACAGTCTTCGGAAAGATTCACGAGACGAAAGGAAGGTGGTACTGGGGGAGGCCTCGGAGTCGGGGAGCAGGGGCCGCAGTCACAGGCTTGGAGCCCAGCGGCTGGGTCCCAGCTGCGCACCGGGCAGTCACTCTGGAAGCTGATGCTCAGAGGAAGTCATGACACCTCTATTAAAAGCTGCAGCTTCCCCAGAGGTGGCCAAGAGGTTCAGCCTATGCCCAGCTCAGGCGCAGCCCTCAACAGCCACTGCAGTGGGGGTGCAGCAAGACTCCCACCAAAGACTGAAGCTGGTCTCCTCTCTCAACACTTCCTTGAAACCACTGTTTCACGGGACCCGGCACTTAGGACGCTGGCGAATGAGACCTAAGTCCCTCCCTCCTTCCTCTCCACCTCTGTCCCCTCCCTCCCTCCTCTATTTCTTAACTCAACTTTTTTTTTTTTTTTGAGACAGAGTCTGGCTCTGTTGCCCAGGCTGGAGCACAGTGGCGCAATCTCAGTTCACTGCAACCTCCACCTCCGGGTTCAAGCGATTCTCCTGCCTCAGCTTCCTGAGTAGCTGGGGCTATAGGTGCCCATCACCACACCTGGCTAATTTTTGTATTTTTAGTAGAGCCAGGGTTTTACCATGTGGCCAGGCTGGTCTCGAACTCCTGACCTTGTGATTCACCCTCCTCAGTTTCCCAAAGTGCTGGGATTATGCATGAGCCACAGTGCCTGGCCTATTTCTTAACTTATTTCTGTTGAAACATCTGTCTATCTGTCTATCTATTTATCTATGTACTCTGGATGATAGATAAATAGACAGATAGACAGATGTTAAGGGAACTCTCAGAGTGTAAAGGGAACTGATTTGAAATGCACAGCTTGATGCGCTTTGCGTGTATGTGCCCAGGAAACTGCTACTCAGATCAGGAGAAAGCACATCTCCAGCCCCAAGAAGTCTCCCCCAGAAGGCGTGTCCCGCCCGGCCTCCCAGTCAGTAGCACCCACACCTGCTGGGGTCCCTGCTATTTCCACTTCTCTCCCTATAGCGGGATTTCACTCTGGAATTTCATATACAGAACCACGCAGCGTGTGCCCGTCCTCTGTCGCTGTCTGTGGCTCCCTGCAGCGTCCATGAGACTCATCCATGTTGTGTGTGTCTGTGACGTGTTCTTTACTGTGGCCATGTGATCTCCCATGGTGTGAATGGACAACAGCTCACTGAACTGTCTTTGGATGGATTTGGGAGTGGTTTCCTGTAATGGCAATTACAAACAAAATTTCTAGAAATATTCTTGCGGATACCTTTTGGTGGACATAGAGGCAATAAATTTCCTTTAATAGTAAATTTATTGAAGTAAAACTAATTGAGCCAGCTTAGACAAAGTTAAGTGACTTGGGGTAGCAGAAAGGCGTCCGCATGGCAAAGGTGTGGGAGTGCCCAGATGCCAGAAGTCTGAGGAGCCCTGAGATAGGACAGGGGCAGCTGCTTTGTGCTGACTTTGTAACCTGGACGAGGCGCTTTACACATGGGAACCAGAGTGACACTGAAACCCGGCCCCTTTGCACCGGCCTTGGCCTTGCACCTGCAGGAAGGAAACAGCGTGGGCAGTCCAGCCAGGACGCGAGCTGCGCACCTCTGGAAATGGGGAAGGCACAGTCAGCAGAGGCTGGCGGACTGCTGTGAAGCAGGTTTCCACCTTGGGGCCTTATGGAAGAGCGTCAGGACCTCCCAGGCTAGAACACTACCTCCCCCTCTGGGTAAAAGGACTACTCATTCCACTTAAACAGAAAAGAGAGAAAATGAAAGAGCAGAGATGTCAAAAATGTTCCCAGACGTTCACCCTCTGCGGACAATCCATGTTAGCCTCTGGGTATTACTTTGTCTAGACTTCTGTGTACAATCGCTGGTTTTCTTTTTAGCTTGGCTGTATGTTGATACTACGTATACATTTGTATTTGATTTCTTCCTTTAACCTTAGAATGCCTAAGGGAATACAAGCCTTCGCCCTTTTCTCACAAACCTGATTCCGTGGCTGCAGAGGCTTCCACCCAGCGCCTGTGCGCCTGTGGTTCCTCAGTCGTGAGATGCAGTGATTGAGATGTTAACGGCACTATTTTTCCCTCCCCTCTTTACCCATCACATAGGCCCCTACTCCAGCTCTAGTTGGTTCTATGCCATTGTCTCAGGGAAGAGGTATGTCTCAAATCTCTTCACTTCCTGGCTTTTGCTTTTCAAACAAAAAACAGAGCAGGGATCCCCAGAGTGGGATGTGAGCCCCAGGGGTGCATGAGAGGATCCCCTCACTGGGAGCAGGAAGAGAGGGGAAAGGTGTTCTCTCTGGGTGGCATCTGTTGGGTGCACAGCCCCCATTCCAGCCCCCTCATTTCTTGCTGTTCAGTTTGGGAAGAGGGACACGGCTCCTCCGCTGGGGATTGTGAGGGCCTCATGGCACTGGTGTGTCCTGAACGCCACAGCACTGCAGGCTCACATTGTGGTTATGAAGGTCAGGCACTGCTGCCACCACCCCACCATGTCTGGCACACAGAAGTGTAGAGAGTGTTGCCTGTGAGGTGGGCAGGGGAGCAGCCCTTACGCTGGTTTCCCAGAGCTGGAAGCGGAGGGAGCAGGCTGGGGCGGGGGCTTCTGAGCAGAGCTCTGGCCCTGCAGGAGCTCATCTCACCCTCATCCTTTGAGCATGGGGCATTCATGGATGAGGGCGAGTGTCCTGTGCTCTCCCATGCTGGGGCTTCCTGATGGTGCAGAGCAGATGAGCCCCACAACCGGGGCTGAGCCCAGGAGGGTTCTTGGCTTCATCCAGAAAGAATTCCAGGGCGAGCCCGTGGTGATGGACATGGAACACTGCCCCACTCAGATCTAGACCTGCTTTTAAGTACATGTAAATTAAGGGGCGGTTTATGCAGACATGTCTTGCATGAGGGTGGTTACTTCCGGGTTGTTGGGTGGTTGCCATGGCCGTGGCAAACTGACCTGGTGCAGTGGTAGGCATGGCTTATGGAAACCTGCTTCCATCCAGACCTGTTTCAGCCAGTCTTCAATTTGGTCTGGTGTTTGAGCCCTGTCTCTAGAGCTGAGTGTCACCTCCCACCCCATTTCCAGGCACAGTCCACGGGGGCCATTCCACTGGGGTCCCGACCTCCCTCTTATGAAAAACCAGTCATTGGATCAAGACCTATCTTAATTCAGTGGGACCTCATCTTCACTTGATGACATCCTGCAAAGACCTATTTCCAATAGGCCACATTCACAGTACCTGGTGGACACGAATTTTGGGGGGATGCTTTTCACCCCAGCATAGGGGTTTATTATGAGTTGACATATGCACCATGCTTAGGATGGTTCTGGGCACGGGGACATGACAGGCAGTCCTGTGGCAGGAGGAACAGAAATCCCACCCTTTTTTGTTATGGTTGAGACAGAGTCTTGCTCTATCGCCCAGAGTGGAGTACAGTGGCATGATCTCAGCTCACTGCATCTTCTGCCTTCTGGGTTCAAGTGAATCTCCTGTCTCAGCCTCCCGAGTAGCTGGGACTTCATGCACATGCCACTATGCCCAGCTAATTTTTGTATTTTTAGGAGAGATGGAGTTTCATCATATTGGTCAGGCTAGTCTCAAACTCCTGACCTCAGGTGATCCACCCGCCTCGGCCTCCCAAAGTGCTGGGATTACAGGCGTGAGCCACTGCACCTGGCCAGAAATCCCACTCTTAATCAAGCCACTGTGTGGCCGGGTTCCGTTACATGCAGCCCAGTGGAAGCCTGACTTGTAAAGCTACAAAACAGACGTAAGCTCACCGGGCCTGGGGCTTAGCCGAAATCTTGCCCCCTCCTGAGGATGCTTCTCTAGCCCCAGACCCTCCCTGCTCTGCATTCAGCTGCCTCATTCAGCTGGGGAGGATGCAGGCAGGCGATGAAAGAGGAGGCCTCCAATTCTGGCTTTCCAACAAGGAGCGCTTGATGAGGCAATGAAGGGGAACTATTTTCTCTTTATCGCCCTCTCTATCTTCCCACGCCTGTCAGAACACAGGAGCCTGGAGGGCCATTGAAGAGGAGAGGAGCCTCTACTCCCTGTTTCAAGAACTGGAGAACTGGGTTCAGAAAGGGGCAGCGGCTGGACCAAGGTCACACAGCAAGTTGGTTGCTCAGCCAGAGTCAGCACAGGGTGGGGTGAATTCCAAAGCCCTGGGGACCCAGTAGGTGAGTGGGTAGCATGAACCGGATAGAGACTGGGGCAAAGTAGAAACCTTCAGGCCCAGCCAGAGAGAGTGGTCGTGATGCACATCACTGGACCGTAGCCATATGAGGGGGCGGGGCACAGGCCTGAGTAGGGAGGGGGATCTTCCTGGCCTGCCTTATGCTTGTGTCCCCCCAAATCCCCCTATAACCCAGGAGTCACAGGTGCTGCCTGAGGAGTCAGCACAGTCCATGCACAGTGTATATGTTGTGCACTGCACAAAGGTACTCACTGAAGAGGCAGTAGGGGGGAATCCCAGGGCTCCTTTTTCCTTTCTTTTTCTATTCCTTTATTGCTCTCCATCCTCCCCTCCTCACCAACTCAAGGATGGGTAAGGGGCCTAAGCGTGGCCCATCAGAGTGGTTCATGACCTTGGCCAGGCCACTGAGAGCTTTACCTGGAATTCAGCACGGGACCAGGGGTATGAGAGGAGCTCTCTTTCTTCGAGGGGCTGGCACGGTAGAATGAAGACTTAGAGCTGCTGGTGGTTGTCCTGCTTCCAGGTAGGAAGAACCCCTCCCTTAAGAGTAAAGTCTACACAGGAGAAAATAGACTAAGATATAGAAAAAGGCCAGTGCCTATTGACCCAGAGCACCTGGATCCAGCTGCATCTGAAGCTACCTCTGCCCTGATATTTTCAGATACCAAGATAATAAATCCTCCCTTTGGCTTACGGCAGCTTCAGTTGAGTTTGTAATTCTTGCTACTCAGAGTCTTGTCTGGTACCCCCTTCTCCAGTTTCAGACACCCAGCCCGGCGCCTCAGAATTAACCAACTGTTTTGTGTGTAGGCAGCGGGCTCCGGTCAGCCTCCCTTCCTTCCTCTCCTCTCTCTCTCCCTCTCAGCTGTGCTATTGGGTGATACATCCTAATGTATATTTAACAGTGGCTCAAAATCGAATTAATTTAGATTGGTTAATAAACTGTAACATCCGTTTCTAAATCAAGCTACATTTTCCTCTTGAGCAACTAAATTCATGCCCGTTGGTTTAATTTGTTGCGATTGTAATCCTTTAACGCTCATGAAATTATGGAAAGGTTTCTAGTGAAATTATCCAGATTCGATTAGCATTTGAGCGTATTAATATTTTTCCTTCTGGGTAGTCTTTGGAGAGAGACTGCTGAGGGCGTGCAGGTCCCACGGGCTGGGAGGGCGGGGAATGCCACCTCAGAAAGCAGGCTCACTCTGTCCCTCTTCAGATAATTATCTTCTTAAAAAACATTTTAAATTTTAATTAATTAAAAATTTTTTTGACATAGAGTCTCATTTGTCACCCAGGCTGGAATACTGTGACGTGATCCCAGCTCACTGCAACCTCCACCTCCTGGGTTCAAGTGATTCTTCTGCCTCAGCCTCATGAGTAGCTAGGATTACAAGTATCTGCCACCAAGCCCTGCTAATTTTTGTAGTTTTAGTAGAGATGGGGTTTCACCATGTTGCCCAGGCTGCTCTTGAACTCCTGGACTCAAGCGATCCGCCTGCCTCAGCCTCACAAAGTGCTGGGATTATAGGCATGAGCCACTGTGTTCAATGTTTATTTTTTAGAGACAGGGTCTTGCCATGTTGCTCAGGCTGGTCCCGAACTCCTGGCTTCAAGCAATCCTCCTGCCTTGGCCTCCCAAAGCACTGGGATTGCAGGTGTGAGCTGTGACAAATGGCCCTTAAAAAAAAAAAACCCTGCATTTATTGAGCACTGACTGTATGCACAGCCCTGAATATGAACATTCTCAATGGAGAGTCTGCCAAAGAAGATTCTGGGCTCCTAAGTGACAGTTGCTGCGAGGGGACGTTTGGAACACAAGGGTCCCCTGCAGCTCTGCCTCCAAATCCACCTGCAGTTGCAGTGGGGCCTTTGTCTGCTCATCACAGACCGGTGCCAGGTAGGAAGCAGGTCTCTTTAACCTTGGCTTGCCCCTGGAGGATCTCCTGCTAAGAGCCGCTCTCTGAGACCCCGTGGTGATCTGGAGCAGTAGAGGTTGGGGAGGGAAAGACTGAGGGTCAAAGCCCCATGTAGACCCTTCCAGGAGGAGCAAAACTCAGGCGGTGGGCCTGCCTCTGCTGCCTCTGCCCTGCCCCTCCCGCGAGCTTGCTCCCCACTCTCTGCCTGCTAATTCCATTTGTTCTGGAATGCGCCAGGCCTCGCCCCAAACAGTACATAAGCAGGGAGGAATCTGAAATACATTTCCAGTTCCCTCCCTCAGGAGAGAGTGGGCCAGGCAGCGCCTAGGAGCTCAGACTGTGGTGATGACGGCAGGCACAGAGAAGCCCCTGAGGAGGGTCCCGAGGCCAGGCTTTGCAGCCACTGCATCGGGCCAGGCCCCGGGCCAGCTGGCCTTGCCCTCTACACTGGCGCTCTGGTTGGCGATTCCCGAGCATGGGGCAGAGTTAACAAGAAGGGGGTGCCCTCATTTTCCACTGAGTGACAGATGGAGTAACTGCTCCTTACTTTGCCAAGGGACATGGGGGACGCCCTTCGGGTGCGCAGATGGCTGGGCAAGTCCCTGCTCTTGCTGAAGCCATTCCCTCTGCGGGGCCTGCCCTTCCCCAGCCTCCTGCGCGCTCCCCCCCACCCCACACTCAGCCTTCAGCTCGGAGCTGAAATCCTCCAGGAGGAGTGCACTGTCCCATCCTGCAGTGCTTCCCTGCTGTAGAAGCCACCACGAACTGTCACCGCAGAGCCGAGAACTGGCTTCTTCACAGCCAGCTCCGCAGGAGCTGCAACCTCAGGGAGAGCAGGCGCTCCTCCACGGCCGCCACCATGGCTAACTCACAGTCTGGCCACTGGTGGGTTGCAAATGGGCTTAGCTGTTCTTGCAGACAGATTCATTATTTCTAAAACATTAACTGGCAAATTTAAAAGTTAGGGGATTTCACATGAAAAATCTGAACTCTGTTAAAAAAATCAAATCTGGGCCAGGCATGGCGGCTCATGCCTATAATCCCAGGTCTTTGGGAGGCTGAGGCAGGAGGAACACTTGAATCCAGGAGTTCAAAACCAGCTTGGGCAGTATAGTGAGACCTTGACTGTACAAAAACCAAACAAAAATTAACCAGGTGTGGTGGCATGCGCCTGAGGTCCCAACTACTCAGGAGGCTGAGGCAGGAGGATTGCTTGAGCTGGGATCATGCCACCGCATTCCAGCCTGGGTGACAGAATGAGTAAGATCCTGCCTCAAAAAAATAAATGAACAGGCCGGGCACGGTGGCTGATGCCTGTCATCCCAGCACTTTGGGAGGCCAAGGCAGGTGGATCACCTGAGGCCGGGAGTTCAAGACCAGCCTGGCCAACATGGAGAAACCCCATCTCTACTAAAAATACAAAATTAGCTGGGCATGGTGGTGTACACCTGTAGTCCCAGCTATTTGGGAGGCTGAGACAGGAGAATCGCTTGAACCAGGACTCGGAGGTTTTGGTGAGCTGAGATCGCGCCACTGCACTCCAGCCTGGGCAACAAGAGCGAGACTCTGGCTCAAAAAATAAATAAATAAATAAAACAAATAAGTAATCAGATCTGGTAACGCTGGGCCCTGCATTCTTATGTGAGAGTTGTTGGAACTGGCCTTTAGACGGGGCGGGCACTCCCTCGGTCACGGTCACTTTGCTCTACTCCCTTCCAGTCCCTATCATGTGCCCCCAGCAGCTCTGCTTGTTGACACTGCCTGTCTCACCTCTATAGGTTTGGAGCCTTCAACCCCCTCTCTCATCTGTCTCCGTGTCCCTGCCCCAGCCATGCCTGGAACACAGGAGACCCTTCACATTCAGCAATCCTTGCAACAAGCTTGCAGGATACAGCTCCCCATGTTCAAGATGAGAACACTCAGGTTCAGAGACGCTATGCACACTTCCAAGGTACACATTCATAAGCAGGAGGGCCTAGTTTCCAAACCGGGTCTCCCTGCGCCCCGCCCCACACCTGGAGTCACCAGGATGGAGAAAGTCCTTTTCACTTAGCGTTCCACTCAGGTCTTCATCAGAACTCCTACTTGAGGCCAGGTGCAGTGGCTCATGCCTGTAATCCAGCACTTTGGGAGGCTGAAGCAGGCGGATCACAAGGTCAGGAGTTTGAGACCAGTCTGGCCAACATGAAGAAACCCTGTCTCTACTAAACATACAAAAATTAGCTGGGTATGGTGGTAGGTGCCTGTGGTCCCAGCTACTCGGGAGACTGAGGCAGGAGAATTTCTTGAACCTGGGAGGTAGAGGTTGCAGTGAGCCAAGATTGCACTACTGCACTCCAGGCTGGGCAACAGAGTGAACCCCATCTCAAAAAAAGAACTCCTACTTGCTCCAGTTAAATCAGTGGTTGAAAATGTGGCCCCCCCCATACAGGGTGGGGGCAGTGGAGAACAGAGGCCACGCCCACTCAGCCCTAGCCCAGCATGGCCAGGCAGCAATGCCACCCCATGTGGCAGAATTTCTAATGTTTTAGGAGAAGCCAGACATCTGGGCTTATGTATCCTAGTAAGTGTTGTCCACACTCTGATGTGCACAAAATCCCTCTGGGGTTGAATGGAGAATCTGCTCCTTGTCGCTAAGCTCTGCCCTCACTGTAAAGCCTGGTTTCTGTCACTGATTGCAGGGGCCAGGCTCTACCCAGGGTAGCCTGGCCTCTCTGCTCACTGTTCTCAGGGTACAGGGTGGTCAGGGAATATCTCAGATGGGCCAAGGGGGCTACATGGGGACCCCAGTATTGGCAGTACCCAGGAGGCATAGGACCGCCACCTCCAGCTCCCAGAATCCCGCTGCCTGCCCCTAAGCACACACCATCTCCAAGCCCTTCCCCATGGTGTGGGTTATTCACCATTCATTAAAAGAGAAAAAATGATCGATAACCAGCCACCACAGAAAGCCCGATGTCACTTCCAAAACGAAACCGGAAATGATTCCTAGCTCTCAAGAGACATGAGTTTTTCCACCTTCTAGAAGGTTAGCTCCAGGCAGGCAGGGATGCTGCTTGTCCAGTTCCCTGCTGTCTCCCAAGTGCCTAAAACAAAATCTAGCACACAGTAGGTGCTCAGCAAATGTTTGTTGAATGACTGCACGATAGTATAGCAGTAGCATCTTCGCAGGCTTTCGCTGCTGGGAATTCCGCAGTAGGGGCTCCTATGCACATTCCTCCTTTAGGGATCAGGCAGCTGAGATGCTGAGAGGCAAAGATGCTGGCCAGCATTATCCCAGCTGCTCTGGGTGGGGCCAAGAATAGAGCTTAGGCTTCTTCTGATGCCAGCCAAGGAACAAAACCCTCTCTGTCTTCTCAATATCCTTGCCAGTGTACAGCTTGAGATGTTTCACACGGTGGATTTTCAGAGCCTAAGGTCGGCATAGAATGAACAAATACATGGGTGGGGACTGAATACCTCTTGTAAGAATCTCAGCTAAGCCCTTCGAGGCCATGCTGGGAAACTTACTTTTTGGAAAGGGGACTTACCTCTTCCTTCCGGAAAGAGCTGCGTTTTAGAATCCAAGCAGCCGTGCAGCTGCTCCTGGAAGGAGGCTTCAGTGTCCGTGAAATGCAATGATGTCCCAGGTGAAATATTTCAACAGAGTGCTGAGGAACCCAACAGACAAGCATGAGTTTAGGGGAAATACACACGCACGCACGCACACATACGCGCACACACACACCCCCCAAATTCTTTCCGCAAAACATAAGCTGGAAGGATTTTATTTGCTCTCAGAGGAAAAACTCAAAAGGTTTAATTTAAAACTTGGGCGGGCTTGTGGTTTTTCAATGGGGTGATTGTTCCATAGTCAGGGAATGAGATAATAAGAAAATGTTTTCGAGCCAGCGTTTGGTTTGGCTTCAGAAATTCAAAGCAGCCTTCTTCTGAGAGCGGCTGGGCCTCATGCATGGCTCAGGCTGGTGTCTCCCGCATCAGGAATCAGATTTACGATAATGTTTGTGTGGTCAGAGACTCGGGTAGGTGGGCACAGCATAGCTGGGTCGAAGGAGGTGGGTCTGTAACCTGGCTGCGTGTCACCCCGTCTCCAGACACGCAGACCCTTAGCAATCATGTAAAATGTGGGCTAAGGCAGGCTGGGTACGGTAGCTCTCGCCTGTAATCCCAGCACTTTGGGAGGCTGAGGCGGACAGATCACTTGAGGCCAGGAGTTTGAGACAGCCTGGCCAACATGGTGAAACCCCATCTCTACGAAAAATACAAAAATAACCTGGACATGGGTTCATACTTGTAATCCCAGCTACTTGGGAGGCTAAAATACGAGAATCACTGAACCCAGGAGGTAGAAGTTGCAGTGAGCCAAGATTACGCCATTGCACTCCAGCTTGGGTGACAGAGCAAGACTTTGTCTCAAAAAAAATAAAATAATAAAAATATATATACATAAATGTGGACTAAGACATAAGGGTAATCTGCCGTGATCTGGAAACCCCATAATGACACATCATCTTTTGATCTGTCCTCAGGAGGGTTCATCCTCCTCCTATCTGCACCAACCCACTGGAGGGGAAGCCTGAGCTCTGTTCCCCACAAGGCAGCCCACATCTCTCCGGCGTCGCCTGGGGGCTTTTCACATGGATTTTACTCTGTGGAAAGGAGCAGCTGACATTGCAAATGGAGAGGGCTTGTTTTTTCCCCTTTGCTTTGCCTTTTTCAGTCTCTGTCTTCCCCAGCTTTGGGCTCACGGGGGAAAATGATTGTTTCCGATGAAAACAGGAATTCCTAGAGCCCCAGTTCAGGGTTAGGGTGATGCAGGGCAGGCAAGCCCCAGAATCCGGGCTTGGCCTGGGAGGGTTCTTGGCTTTGCCCAGGAAAGAACTCAAGGGCGAGCTGGTGGTGGTAACAGCTTTGATTGCAGCTGCAGTGCAGGCTGGCAGCAGAGGCACTGGGAGATCAGGCTGTGTGCCCAGGGCATCAGCTCAGAGCCCACTCTGCAGCCTCTGTTGTACCCTCTCCCAATGATGTGCAATTATGGGGTGGGCTATACAGACACTCCTAGAGAAAGGCTGGTCACTTCTGAGTCATCAGGTCACGGCCATGGAAGGGGGTGGTAACGTCCAGGTGCTGCCATGGCAGTGGTAAATGGACATGACCTACTGGTGGGTGTGTCTTATGGAAGGCGCCCTGCCTCACCCCTATTTTAGCTAGTCCTCAATTTAGTCCAGTGTTTGAGCTCTGCCTCCAGAGTTGAGGCCTGCCTGTTACCTCAGAAGCAGATCAGGTGGGAAATTTTAGTGGTATTTGCTCCTGGAGTACCAAGTGTTTCAGGGGAGAGCCTCTCACTCATGGGCGGCTGGGCTGGAAGGGGGTTTTGAGTGGAATCACTTGCTGCACAGGTCTTCCCTGGGGAGTGGGGAATTTCAGGCGACCACGCCCCTCTTGAGAATAATATTCATTGACATTCTGGTGTCCTGCCCCAGTAGCCTCCACCTGTATCTAAAGAGGTCAGCTAATGGCTTGCAGCAGGGGCAGGTAACACCTGTGCTCGGCTCCTCTCAAAAATGACTCACCTCTCCTCCGTACCTGGCATTTCAGTCTAGAGGTCTGAAGACCCTCAAAGGGTCTTCTCTCATCACCCTGGCCCTACCCTTCAGCTTGGCCTGGGACTGGCCCTCATTCTCTACCCACCACTGACCCTAATCCCCACTCACCAAAGCCAGTCCTTAACCCAGACCTCAGCCCTCTGTGAGGCCTGCGAAGCTGGAGGGAGATTTGGTCCTGCGACGCCCCTGGGACCCCTCACCCAGCACGTCCCGGCCAGCGCAGCATCCACCATTCACTCTCACACCTTGGACAGCTCCCAGGGATCCGCTCCCAGTCAGTAGGGTCCCGTCTGCCTGCAGGTCACGGGCTCCTCCCTCTGACAGTTTGCCTTCCAACCAGGCCTCAGGGACTCTCACTCTTACCTCCATTCCTCAAAAAAAAAAAAAATTGTTTTTAAGATTATGCGCCCAGTGGCTCACACATGTAATCCTAGCAATTTGGGAGGCTGAGGTGAGAGGGCTAATTGAGCCCTGGAGTTGGAGACCAGCCTGGGCAACAAACAGTGAGACCCCATCTCTACAAAAATCTACAAAAATTAGCCTACCATAGTGGCACATGTCTGCAGTCCCAGCTAGGAGGCTGAGGCAGGAGGATCGCTTGAGCCCAGGAGGCTGAGGCTGCAGTCAGCTATGACTGCACCACTGCACTCCAGCCTTGGTGACAGAGTAAGACTCCATCTCTAAATAAAAATAAAAATGAACAAAGAAAGAAGAGGATTGTGTACTCAAAAGCAACGAGTCTGAGGCTGCAGGTGTGTTTCCCAGACATGGAAACTGCCATGGGCCTCCGCAGCCCCAGCGGGTCCTGTACCTGGAGGGGTGGTTTGGGGGTGAGGGAATACGGGGTGCACCTTCGGAGCTGGCTACGGAGCTGCCACCTGGAGAGTAGGGGCCGCCCTGTGAGCCTGCTAGGGCTTTCTCCCCAGCCACTCAGCCTCCTTGGGTCCCCTGCCCTGGCCTGCCTTCCTGGTTGGTCAGGGCGCTGAATAACCCCGTGCCCATGAGAACACCTCCCACTTGTGGAATCCTCCCTTTATTTGCTGGCTAGGGCTGGCGTAACTAATTAAGCCACAGCTGGGGGCTTAAAGCAACAGAAAGGCATTCTCTCACTGTTCTGGAGGCCGGAAGTCGGAAATCAAGTGTCCAGAGGCCGCTGCTTCCCCTGGAGGCTCTAGCGGAGGAGCCTTCCTGCCCCTTCTAGCCCCCAGCAGCTGCCCACAGACCCTTGGTCACTGACTGGCCGTCCTCTGTGTGCCATCTGTTTTGATAAGGACGCCAGTCACTTCATGCAGGGTTTGCCTACTCCAGCGTGACCTCATCTTAACTTGGCTCCGTCTTCAAAGCCCGATTTCCAGATGCAATCCTGTTGACAGGCTCAGCGTGGACATGGATTTGGAAAGCAGGGGCGATATTCACCCCGGCAAACTCCCCAAGGGCCCGCCCTGGGTGAAACCCGTTCTGTTTCCCACGTAATCTTCACAGCAGCCTGGGAGGCAGGTGCAGTCAATTCCCACTGCACGGATGAGGAAACTGAGGCCCACAGAGGCTGAGCGTCAAGTGCCTGGGGGAGGAAAATGGCTTGGAACTAGATGGAGAGGCGGTGGACAACGTTGTGAATGGACTAAGTGCCACTGAACTGTACATACTAAGAGAGTCAATTCTATGTCATGTGAATATTGACGCGTAAACAGAGTTCTATTTGACACCTTTCCACTATGTAAAATCTGCACTGCTAGGTGGCATTTGTGGTCTGGAGATGTGAATCCCGTCACTGAGTGGGGGAGGCCCCAGCTATAGCGCAGGCCAGCCTCCTGGAAGGTGGGGACTGGGTGCTGAGCACCTCCCTTTCATACCCGGCATAGACTGCATTCCCTCACTGGCCACCTGTCATTTTAGAAAGCAGAGGACAGAGGTAAGTTTTGCTTAATTAATTTTGGGGAAAGGGATATAGGGAAAGTGAGGGCAACTAGGAGCTGGTTTGTTTGCTTATAATTTTTTATCTTTTGTATTTATTTATTTGTTTTTTGAGACACAGTCTCACTCTGTCGCCCAGGTTGGAGTGCAGTGGCGCGATCCTGAGTGACTGCAACCTCCGTCTCCCGGGTTCAAGTGATTCTCCTGCCTCAGCCTCCCAAGTAGCTAGGATTACAGGCATCCACGCCCAGTTAATTTTTGTAATTTTAGTAGAGACGGGGTTTCACCGTGTTGGCCAGGCTAGTCTCAAATTCCTGACCTCAGGTGATCCACCCGCCTCGGCCTCCCAAAGTGCTGGGATTACAGGCGTGAGCCACCACACCTGGCCTGGTTTTTGTTTTTTTTAGAGACATGGTATTGCGCTGTCACCTAGGCTGGAGTACAGTGGCATGATTAGCGCTCACTGCAACCTTGACCTCTGGGGCTCAAGGGTTACTCCTGCCTCAGCCTCCCCAGTAGCCAGGACTACAGGTGTGCACCACCACACCCAGCTAATTTTTTAAAAGTTTTGTAGAGACAGGGTCTCACTATGTTGCCCAGGCTGGACTTGAACTTCTGGAGTCGAGCAATCCTCCTGTCTCAGCCTCCCAAAGTGCTGACATTACAAGTGTGAGCCGCCCACTCAGCCACCGCTAGGATCTGTGTGAGTTTCTCTGTGCTGGCCCACACAGCCCATCTCTGATCTCACTGCTGCATGCCCCCAAGTCCCTGGCTGGCCTGCTGGGAAAGCTGGGGTCTCTGTTGAACAGCCAGCCCCAGGAGCCCAGCTCCTTACGTATTTGCTGAAAGGCCTGATACAGCAATAGCTCAATTTTATTGATCTTGTCAAAAGCAGTAATTCAAGAAAGCTATTTAAATTCACGGGAGGAAGCCAGAGCAATTATCCACGTCTGCATCAGATTCTTCATCATTTTTGTTATTGGCTGTGGAGCCTGGAGACATTGTGTGTGCGCCTGACATGGCAGCGAGGGGGCTGCTGAGGGTTGAGGTCTTGTTTGCAGCCCAGGAAAAGGAAAACCATAATCAGTAATTTGCTGATATAAATCTATATGCATAAAGGTTACAGGGTG